ACTCAGAAAAGAAGTGTTGAAAATAGAGTCATAAAACAATTAACGTTTATTGACTTTCGCGGTAGGGGGTAACGCGGGGTCGGTTGACAAATTTTCTCGCAGTAGTGCAAAAGTTCTACTCACTTCGCTTGAAAGTGTCATATTTCTTCCCCACTTACAAACAAACCCGATGGCAATCGGTGAAACAGGAGATAAATTACAGCGAGTTGAAATTTGATATGTTTATTTTTTTGCGTTTTTCGTATCGAATTACATAAAAATAAATATTAATAAATTCATTTTGTCAATACGCAAGTAATTTATATCACTAGATAGAAAACAAAGCGCAGAATCCAACTAAGAAACTGTAGTTTCTTTACGCGATAGATAAAATTGAATTATTTCATATTAAAAACACTGGGTCTGTAAGACCCATGCGACTCAAGTAAGGGCCCCATTCCTAGCGACTTACGGAGGGTTAAAAAAGTTTATGATATTTTTCAAAATAAACTATAGATGCTAAATTTTTTTTTATTCTAACAGTTAATATTGGCAACATTTTAAAAAATTTACTGCCACAAACTCTTCTTATAAACATTACATTTTATAAAAAATGGTGGAATATCTGTACTGTATTACTGTAATCCAACTCGTATCTATAAACCTTTTACCGGTGCACATATCATCACACTCTACAACAGTTACAAATGTTTTTGAACCGTTACGGTTCTTCTTCAGGTAACGATCCTCTAAAGGAATGCGGTTCAAAGTTGTTACGAAATACGATCCAGAACAATGTCCCAACCTGATGACGTCACTACGGACTTGCGCGTTATGCATGGTGTGCTCTATCTTAGAGATTTATCTATTAGGGCCTGCCAGGCCGTCGATAGAGCGATTTCATCTTTGTAGTTAATGCAATTACGTAATTGCATTAACTACAAAGATTTTAAATATGAAATTGTTCTTCTATCATATGAAGTTACTTGATAATCAAATCAAATTTTTTTCAAATACTTCTGGAATATAGACCAATGATTTTCTTGTGTTTGTTATCTTCAAGACCTCCATCTCTAAATTTGGAAAATCATCCAAAAATATGCAGGTGACAGAACATACTGTTACAATACTCTTACTTTTATCGTATTTTTAACCTTCAAATTATATTTATCCAACGTCTAGTAAAACATATCATTGGCTTTTGCAGCATTATTTAAACAATGTCAATGATTTCCACAATATAAAAATTTGTGTAGAAAATTCTAATACAAATTCATGTAAACATGAATGATTTATGAAAGAGCTTATATAAAAAAGCAATTGGACTAGTCAATTGTTAAAAAATATACTGAATCTCGTTCCTAATGCTTTTTTATGCTGTATTATTCTTACTCCTGAAATTTAATTCTCGTGCCTTGTAAAATACATTTATACATTTGCACATACACACACATTCTTATTTTAAAGAATTCACATGTATAATGTCACAAAATTAATATATTAAAACNTTACAGAAAATAATTTATTATATGTAAATCAAATATTTAAAAAAAGATCTGATTTATATGTATTTAAATTAGATTTTAAATTTGAGTTTAACACTACAAAATGACAAATTTTGTTGTTTAAATTACTAAACATGTTACATATTATCTGAATTTCTTATATTGTCTCCTCTTCTAATTCTATAATTTTTCTCCCCCTTTTCTATGTTCTGATGTACATTCATCAATCATATCATCATTAATAATACATTTAACAATAAATACAACTGTTTACTGTATTTATACTGTCATAAAATTTGTAGAATATATAAAATAATGTAATAAAAAATGTTATAGATGTCTTTTTTTTTAAACAAACTATAAAATTCTATTCCATTTATTTGAATAGAATTTTATCTAATCTAATTAAGCCATACAATCTTGCATAGTATATAATTCATAGGCAATTAGTGATTTTAATAAACATTTACTTACAAGTTTATTATTTAAATGGAACTGACTTTTTCAAAATATTTCCTGATATAAACACTAAATACATAAATAATTCTAAAAACTTCTAATTAGTTGAGAATAATACACCAAAGCCCCATTATATATTAAAACAGCTAAAAAGTACACGTTTAATAATCATTTTCTCAATGACATTTATGATGAAATTTTTGTAATCTTTAAACTTTTGCTGATAATATGACAGTTTGTATATTTTTTAGTTGTCTAAAATATAATTATTTACTTTAATACTTCAAACATTTAATAACAACATTAAATTAATCATGTGGTGGAACTTTTAAAATATTTATAACTTACTTGACAATGTTTGGCATGATAGCAACATAAAGCAATCAACTGCTTGCAAATTGGACATCCACCATTTGTTTTTCTCTTGCAGCTCTTTGCATGTTGCACAACCCGTTTCATTTTTTGGCAACTTGGCAGTCGGCAGTTTGCATCTCGGCATTGGCAAGCATGAACTAATGACTGTATGCAGCGTTGGATTGATAAACGACGTGATTCCTGAGGATTAGTTTGTTTCTGATCAGTTGTCGAAGATCCGTCATCTAGATCAAATCCTAACCTATCCATTTTATGAGGATGATTATCTTTATTGAAGCAAGTTATGCAGAGATCAAAATCCTGAAAAGATAAAAACATTTAATGCATAAGTAAAACAAATAACATTTTAATTTATATTCTGAATTTGAAAATATGTAAAAAGTTATTGAAAACATTTATTAAAATTTTTTTTGTTTAAATGTTGCTTGAAGAATGATTGATTAAATATATATGAATAATATTTTAATCCAAAATATTTATTACATATTAGAAAAAATATATTTAACATTCATAATAATGATTCCAAATTATTATTTCTGGAAACTAATAAATTTTAAAAAATTTAAGCTTATGGAACAGTTCTAAATAATAATAAAACAGTAAACAAAAATATTCATATTAAAATGAATACCATACAAAATTAGTAGTATGCAAGATTTGAACAGATGATAATATTAAATTAATCACAGTCTCTCTAAGACAGTGCTGAAGTCCAGTTTTGTGAAAAACAACCCTTGTCAATCATGTAATCAAACTGACAAAAACTGAAAAATCTAGTTAAAGATTAGGACAGGATATCACCACCCACAATGCATAACATTACAGGTATTACAATGGAAGAAAATTTGAAGTGGACACATACAAATGACAAATGTAGACAATATCCTAATTACATTTTTTTTAAAGAGAGAAAGAAATAGCAAATTAGAAATGTACAATAGTCTCATAAATAACTTACTTTGCGATCCATTTTAAGCAAAATTACTAAATAACATACAAATAATATAAAGCATGAAATTCAATTCGAATGTGATGATAATCATAACTTCTAGATGCTGATTATACGTAAAAAGATATTTCAAGACAGTAATTTTCAAATGATTTGAAGAATTCACAGTTAAAAATATTGATAATATTCGATAATATTCAAAATTACTGATACAAAGAAAAATATCCAGTTAAATTGAGAGTTTGTAATACAGCCAAAAAATTTACTATTATATTACTATACTAGGACATTGCATGACTTTGTCATATCACAAAAGAATTGAAGAAAGCCAGAAGGAAAAAAGCAATCCCTGCACCTGTTTGGCATAGAAGAGGCAATCCTTGTACAGTACAGTACCTGATGGATGGAGACAGGTTAATTTTGTACTTCCTGCCACAAAAGAGGCTATCCTTGTACCTGCAGGCCACGGGAGACATGATCACTGGCTAGGTACAAAGAGATCTAAGAAACAAAGCAATCGATGGCAATTGCTTTGTTCTTGTGTTTTATTACTTTTGTGCCTATTTTCCATAGGCACATGTAATATTGTTTTTATTTTTGACCCCTAGGCCTAAATTCGTCACATCAGAGAGCATGAACATTTTCACTGTAATACCTTTGTATATCGAAAAAAGTCATGGACTCCTATTTTTACTTTCTTGGCTCTGTTTTAGATAACAGAAGGAAAGTATGGCAATCAGTTAAAAAAATGACCTCCCCCCAAGATTTTTACATTTTTGGACTTAAAACATTGAGAAATGCAAAAACATTCAGTTTTTTTTCTACATGTATGGATGTTAACCTGTTTGGCACAATTTTGTTTACCCTGTTTGAAGCTTAATAACACCTGTGCTTTTGAAAATTTCTGAAATTTTGCAGGAAGGTTTGTGTATTAGAAAGATTCATGCTATTAAATTTCAGTAATTAAAGGTCAAGGAGGTGAAAAGATAAAGGGGTTGTGTGTCATATCTCCAGTAGGATTAGACTCAATGATGATTTTGCTCATTATTAGCATTTTGCAATTTTTTTTATAAAACCCATCCCTACCTTCAACATTAAGCTTTTTGTCATTTTATAACAATTAAAAATGTAAACAGTTTTTTCAAATGAAATATTGTAACAGATAGCACCACTAGAATTTAAAATTTGCTGGAAAAGTTAAGCAATTCACTGTTAGTTTTTATACATTTAAATTCATTGAACAATAAAATAGATAAAATAGAAATTAATCAATCATAAATTTACATCCACAAATCTTTTATGATGCGATTTTTAAAAAAGTTCCCACAAACGTTTCCGAACCGTCCTAAGGTTCTTCTTCAGTTGAGTAACAGAAAATTATAAAAACATTCGATGGAAAACAGAAAATTTGAAAGAGTCTTGATTATCGAATCAATAACTCCTGTGTCTGTCATCATCAACGGGCATGCGCATTCCTTGGAAGCAAAAAAAATTTTGTTTTCCAGATTTTTCTATCCGTCATATATAAGCACTTGCCATAGGGATAACTCGTCTTTATTGTTAATACTTTTGTTATCTTGACCAGCTCTGTATATATAAATTGCCTCAACCGAAAGCTTTCCAGTTGGCAAATTTAAATTTCCGCTAGTGCTGTGACACTGCAATCTTCGGCTATGTCTTGGGCTACTCAAATATTATTTTTGTTGGTGCGTGTTTTAGCTGGCAGCACTGGTGCGACCATCAGAGGGTACTTAAGGACATGCCAGGATTTGAACGAATTTCAATATAGGATAGGTTAATATATTTTTTCGTACATAGTCCGTTATCCGAAAAATCAATTTTCCGAACAACTCCAGTCCCCAATTGATTCAGATAATCAATGCTCTACTGTATTCATATACAGTATAATCTATAGTGGTACCTCAGAATACAAACACCCGAGCATACGAAATTTTCAGGATATGACATGAAATTCGAACATATTTTTGCTCCACGGTAAGAACAAAAACTCACCATATGATGTTACATTAGTTCACAGCGCCATTTTTTATTCACTTCTGTTTATTGATCTCAATCTGTGTGTTTGCTTCATCGTGGAAGGATCTCGCTCGATAGAGGAAATCTTGAGGTATTATCAGAAAGTGACTGATTTTATAGAAAAGAAACATCCCGAAAAGATTCACACTGGCCATATTGCTGCTCAGTTTAATGACATTTGCCTAAGTCATTTTAGAAACATTTTAAAAAGTAGGCAAAGCCAAACTTCTTTGGATAGATATTTTACCAAGCAACCACTATCCAGTGAAAATGCTGGTGGAAGTGAAGGAAAGAAAGCAAAAAGCAATGAATAAAAATTAAAAAAAATTATTGTTGTTTTATATATCTAAGTTATTTTTAAGTTATTGTTACATTATGTTATGTAAGTTAAGTTTTAGTATCATTTCCCTTCTCCCTTCATCAGTTTACACCTCCACAGTCGTATATCCTCAAAGGTAAAGTGCAAATAAAAATACATTTTTTTTAATCAATTATTATTCTATTATGGTTATTTATACATTTACAACTACAAAATGCATTTTTCAGTGTTTTCCTTATTATAGTTATTTTTTTTAATGTACTACTTAGCTTTAATTTGAGTGTGTTTTTCGTGTTGGAACGAATTCTTTGGTTTTACATGTAATCGTATGGGGGAAAATGATTCACCTTACGACATTTTCATGATACGATCTCAGTTTCGGAACGGATTAATTTTGTATCCTGAGGTACCACTGTAGTTTTAATGAATCATAGAACAACAGATTTCTCAGAATAATAGATTTTTTCCCTAGGTACTATCAAATCAATCTAATTTTACCTCCTTTTAGTGGATCTGTAACTTGAAACAATATTTTTCTAGCCTCATATATTGTAAACTTTGTATTTTTTCAATGTTTGGTTAATATTTTGGTGTGCTGGGAATTTATAAGTTTGATAATATAAGACCATAATATACACAAACATCTACAGTAGAGCTCTGCTTAATGATTACCTATTTTTATAAATAATATAAATATCCTTTTATAATTTATGAAATGACAATCTAAACGTTATTTTCGATCATTTCAGTTTGCTATTATCAAGTTCAAATTTCATTTACCAGAACAGACTGTTACAGTATTTATGACGATGGTCATATATTATATTGGTGTAAAACAATTCTCATATTTCATTGGAGCAGGACAGACAGCACAACAATAGAATATTGAAAATAAAACAATATGCTTTCACTGATACAGTTATTCCCAACAAAGACAGACTACAAACATACTTTAAGATAGACTACCAGATAGATTTATGCACTAAAACATCAAAACTGAAAATCAATATAAAAATGAACAAGATAATTACAATTCTATCTTTGTTTTCTGCAAATAGAACTATTAATTTTTTGTAAAGAACTAATGTGTTCAATTGTAAGACAAATTTCGAGTTTATGGTTAAATACATAATGGTTGAATTTAAAGAATTAAGAAATTTCTTAATAATTATTTATTACCTTACACTTCAAACACTACCTCCAGTAGAGAGCTATTAACAGCAAACAAATGTTTTTGGGCTCTTAAAAGAAATACCTGAAGAAGGCCACTTATCTCATTGTTTGTATGATATTGACAAATCTAGACACACACATGAAATTCCTTAAATTTAGATGTCATACAACCAATAATGCAAACATCTTTCATAAATTATTAATTTCTCTTTTTCCATGTAGTCTGTAACCAACACATGCAAGAAATATTATAGGAAAGGCTAACAAAATGTTACTTCTATATCCATGATATGCCAAAATTTCAAAAACCACATAATATCCTCATAAGAAAGAAAAAAATAGTTACAAATATATATAAAACCAGTGGTGAAAAAACCAGAATGGCACATAAGATTAAAAGAAAACATATTGATAATGTTTGACCATTTTCATACACCACAGTATTTTAAGTTTCTGATTCCAATTAATTGTATTATATTAAAATCAATTACATTATGATAAAATCATTTAAAATACAATGATAAAAAATTTGACAAGTAAATATATCAAATAGCACTACAAAGTCACAAAATACAATAGAACAAAACAAAAATGATGCAATACAATAATAGAAACTGTATGGAAGTAGCATAAACCAAATATTCTTATGAGTTTGAGCAAAGTGTATTGAACATAGAGGTCATCAGTAAAATGATGTATGTATAGACATCATCATCACGATAATTCAGTTTAATTAAAATATGCATGATATTGAATGTTTTAATTATACTAAATATTTTAATAATGATAATTTGTGTACCTACATCATATAATTTTCAAAAAAAAAAAAAAAAAACTACTCACAGACATTTATTGTCAAACTGAGAATAAATAAAGAACCTTTAAAATATTTTTAAAAAAATATATTACAGAATATGGTTAAACGGTTAGATTTTTTGGCACAAGGACCTCTTGAGCCAAACTGCATCAAACTGGTGTTATAAGATGTATAACCAAGATAATAAATAGGATAGATATTAATATTGATATAAGTATAGTCTAGAACTAGGAAATAGACCTCAACAAGAACACACAAATGAATTATTTTAAATCAAGACTAGTATATTTTTTCTCTCAATACAAAAAGCAATTTGTATATATATTTGAACATGATCAATTTTCTTTTTCTGAAAGCAAAAAGTCACAAACTTTTCTATATTTGGCATCTTAGATATGTTCCTCTTAATAAATATTTTTTGCTTGAATAACATAAATATTCTTTCAGGAAATGCCCATTAGTTTTTCAATACTTTCACAATTATATTTTGATATTTTTTATTGCAAATATATTAGAATTTGTAAAACTGGTTATATCAAAAATTTTGTTGAAAAAAAGCTTCCTGAAAATTTTGTCAAAAATGGAAGAAACCACAGAATATTCAATCTTTGCCAACATATAACCTAAACTATATACAATATTTTATAACTACAATATATAAATTGAACAGGACCATTAAAAATTTTGAATATTTTTCTATTTCGAAAGCCTTGAAATTGTGATTTTAAGCCAATATGCATTTAACTTGCTCTTATAAAAATTTGACAATTCTATTCCAGGATTATATGAATTACATAGCTACATTAACCTTCTGTTAGTCGCATGGGTCTGACAGACCCGACGCGATTTTCAGTCAAAATTTTTTACTATTAAATATTTTTTGAAAAATTTGAAAAAATTAATATTCCTCAAACTTTTTAATTAGATTAACATGCTGTTAAAATTTTTTGCATAGCAACGCTCATTTTTTAGAAAAAAAATGCTTTACGAGTCGCATGGGTATGACAGACCCATGCGACTCACGGAGGGGGTAAAAAAACGTCAATTAATTTGTCGCCGTTGCCGATAGCGAGTGTCGCAATAACTTTATCGCGCTGAAGTTGTCGCGCGGTGTCTATTATACTTTATAATATCGTTATTTATTTATATATTTATATTTTTGTTTTTTTTGTTATAATATTGTTTTCAAAATTAATGTCTAATTAACTTTTAATCATTTTAATTATTATTCTATTTTTATCATATAATTTTTATATATTACTTATGATGATTCTTCGTATATTAGACGATGCANTGTTCGTCGACTCTGATAAGAGATTGTTGATAAACCTATAAGCCTTTCGCTCATAATTTAGCCTATTGTTCCTGCTATCTGTCATTTTAGAACTTTGACGATCGTATGTGATGTTTTTATACCCGTCAAATTTTTTCTTTTTTCCGAAAATTTAACCTTGATCGACTGTTTGTGAGCGCGTTTTCCTATATTTTCATTAAAGAAACCCCATTTTACAAATAAAATTACAAAAAATACTGACGGCTAGAACGGATTAATTGTATTTGCATTAATTTCTATGGAAAAAATTGCCTCGGTTAACGAACAATTCGGTTAACGAACGGACTCGTGGAACGGATTACGTTCGTTAACCGGGGTTCCACTGTATTATGGTCACAGTAAAATCAGAAGTTTGCAATGGTGTACTGAACAATCGAGTCTTATCCGCCAGAAAATTCTTTAAGGATGTAATTCCAATTAGTTTTGTGATTCACGAAGACATCGCATGCTTACAGTAATAACTTATTCAACATATTAACCCTAAGATTACAAAAAAACTCCATATCCATTACCATAATATCATAAAGCATTTACCGTACAACCTTATATGTAACACTGATTTAACAATTTTCTCTTTATTTCTGTAATATTGTTTCAATCTGAAATATTAAAAACCTTGTGCAATCAAGATTTTTAATCGCATAACTACGTATGAAGTCTTTATTATATAAGACTTTTTGTCTTCAAGTACGTATTTTCTATTATCAGGACTTATTATACTGGCTTTACAGATAATAAGTCCTGATATTAGAAAATACGTACTTGTAGACGAAAATTTATATGTTGTAGTAAGTCTAGGACATTAAAACATTTTAATTAAATTGTATAAGATATTCATTTTAATGTAAGAAAATTTCAATTTTTATATACTACGTTAAAAAAAAGGCATAAAGAGAGAAATTAAATCACAAGTGGTGTCAGATAGATAAAAAATTAAAATTTTTGTAACTAATATATTTACTAACATTTGTTTGCATAAATAGCAAAACAAATGTTAAAAGAAATTCAGTAATAAAATAAATTAAGACAGACATCTGAACTGTTATTTTATCAAATGACAACAGAATAGTAAAAATATTCTTAACATGAAATATTTGACTGTAAACTTCAATAGAAATAGATGATATTTAACCAGTAAATATCATTAAGATTTCAAAGTTTATTTTCATTTCACATGTCTTAGCTAAAAACAGCAATTCAGATTTTCAAATTCCATCTCATTTTAAATACTAAAATTTACACCTTCCTCTCACTTTCTAGCATTCACTGATTAAAAACTAACTAAAGATTCAATATAGAATCTCCTTAATCTGACACAAGGCCACTGAAGATAGCTGAAAACATTTTTTTTAATCAGTGAATCTGGAAAGTGAGAATTTTAGTATTTATAAAATGGTTAATTCTAAAGCTGGAAATATCTCATTTTGTAATATGCATGATTCAAAAATAAAGATGGATTAATCAACAAATTGGTCAATCCTATTAATTTTACTATTAAATGTTTATATAAATAACAAGACTAATTTTAAATTTTTTAATATTTTAACATTAAATAAAAGAATAATGTTATTCAAATGAATATCTCATAAGTAAAGAAATTTTTTTAAAAAAATGTATTTTTTCCTTTGACTGAATAGATTATTTTTTATTATTTCAAGATGTATACAATATATATATAGTATACATCTTGAAATAATATATATAATATGTATACTTCAAAATTGCTAAATCCATCTTTTAAACAGTTAGCTAAGCACATTGTCTTATGTATTTTTTTTATTCCTGCTCTTTTCAATGTTGATTGTTATAAATTTCTAAACTAGCCACAAAACAAAAATGCCTAAAAGAGGGCATGAAAATTAAAGATTAGTTTCAAAATCAGCTGTATTCACAGCCTTTATGTTACAGACCCAAAAAATGTGAAGGTGGACATTTTTGAAATTATTTCATATTAAGAAAATTCTTTTACATTAACTGTATAAAATTATTAATGCTTTGAAAAAAAAAAGAAATGTTAAAAAAAATTACAATTAAGAATCATAAAACCCAAAAATGAATTCAATATTACTGAAGAGAAATTATAAATACATTTTAAATAGAATATTGCCTAAAATTCATTTCTCACTTAAACATTATGGAGTAATAATGTAAAACCACCTAAAAAAATTGGTTTTATTGGAATAAAACTATGTCAACAGTAAAAATATTCTATTTTAATTCAAACTATATGTATAAATGTGTGTTTCAAAAGGTAAAGGCAACCAGACAGGAAATGATAAAAGTTTGTGTAGAGTAAATAATGAATATAAAAAACTTCTTATACAATATGGTTTAGTAAAGACAATGCTTTAAAAGTCATGTTAGCAATTTCATTATTAGCAATTCAACAATAAAGAGATACATGATTAACAAGACAAAGTATTCTATCAAATCAAGTGGCCTGATAATGTTTGATAATTAATTAAAGAGCAGATGTTCAATATGTTCTCTCTCATGCAAGCATATTTCAGTACACCAACAAACTAGATGTTTGTTGTTTAACAACTGATGCTATCATATTTTCAACAGCAGCAGTATGAATTCTTAAAAACAAAAAACAATTTATACCTCAAAACTACACACTTATTCCTTTGTATAACCTGAAGGAGAAAATCCATTGGTGACAAATCCAGAAACTAAAGCTTTATTTTCACAAAATTTGGAATACACAAAATTAATGCAGAGAAAAATGAGAAGAAATAAGAGCAAAAGTATTTAAATTATATTTACAACTATTACAATATAAACAATGTTTAATAGATGAGAAGAAAGCAATAAATATACTTTAAAATGCAATATCACTTAAAATTCACCCAGGTGATCTAAATAAACACTAAATATTTTATTAAAAATTAAAAATCATGCATTTATGCATGTAAATTTCTTATAGGTCTTTCTAATAAGACCTAATAGTGTTTAGTAAATGATACTTCTGAAGAAACCTCAATTGCCAAATAATTATGTCATAAACAACCATCTATTTTAGGAAAATTTTCTATTCACTTAAGAATTTTAAATTATAAGGTATAATATTTAAAGAAAATTATTTAAAATAGAAATATATTCAAAAATGAAAACTAAAGCTCACATCTGCTATGTCAGGTTCGCCTTCACCGGGTGCTTCAGAAGCAGCAGCTGCAGCAGCGGCTGCTGCAGATGCCTCTGCAGCTTTACGCTTTTCCTCCTCCTCTTGATCCAATTCTTTAATGCTTTCTTCTAAAACATTTGGCCAAAAGTCTCCTTCAAAATATGGCAATTCAGCTGCACTACTTAAATTATCTTCTGTTGCTTGTTTTAAAATATCCTTAAAAAATATTTTTTATTGTAAAACCATAGAAGTCAAATACAATCAAATTAAATGTATAATACTAAATAATAACATTCTTACTTTGTAATCCAAAACTATTCTCTCAATAATACCCTTATCTAACATTTTCTTATACCATTCTTGTAATCTCTTTGGCTTTGGTATTTTTTGTTCAGCAGGATGGCAATGAAATATGTAGTCATCACCTTCACTTGGAGGGCAAGCCCAAATATGAGCCATTGTATATCTGTAATGTATATTAAATATCAAATTATATTATGCTATCAATATTATGATTACTAACAAATATCTACTAATTATCTATGTAATTTTAAAGATACACCTAATTATTATAAATGAATATAAAGGTAAATTAAAAAAAAAAAACACATACAACACATTATTTGCTAAGGAAAACATTTAATAATCAGGAACGTTTTGGCTTGTTCTACAAACCGTCCTCAAGCATTATATTATATTCTATCATTAAATATAACATTCCAATGGAATTTCAAATACAATAAATTTAAATGTGAATAAAAGAACAGAACAATTTTACAGTTACATAAGATATCAAAAAAAATATTTTATTATTAATTAAATTTGATTTTATGTTTCGTAAGAGATTAAAAATTGAAAGAAACACATCCTATTTCCATATTATCATTCCTAAAAAGTTCCCACAATCCCAACCTGCACATGCCAAGATTGTTTGCTTTCCCAAAGACACACAAAAATAACAGAAACCAGTCTTGTGAGTGAAAAGTGTAGAGGACCAATGTATTGTACATTTTGGAAAAACAACTACATAATTTCTTATCAAATCAACCAGAAAACTGCAATTTAGTAGTATAAGATCCATATAAAGTTGTAAAGGAACTACACATTCTATCACTAATAGATCAAGAAGTCAGAATAGTAATGGACTTCGAGAGCTTATATCCATCCATCAAGATAGAATCGTGCTTTGAAACACTAATGGAATTCATGATCTTGTTGAAACTTGAAGCAGCTGCCCACCTAAATGAATTGAGGGAGCTGGTAAATCTGGTTAGTTACCAGTCTTTCTTTAGCTTCAATGGTTGATTGTACAGATAGAAAAAAGGTGTCACTCTTGGGAAACCCAATTTCAGTTATTTAGTGTGAATTGGTTCAATATAAGTTAGAGAAAAATATACTTACTTCCTTTACGAATGATATCGTTTTATACAAAAAATATGCTGAGATTTTTATAATTTGAAAAAGTAACATCAGGGTACAACAATTTTTGAATACAGTTAACATTAATGATAATAGTTTGAGTCTCAAATTAGAGCAAGTACAACATGCATTCATTTCTTGGACATTGATATCACATCTAAGAACAGAAAGTTTATACACGAAAGTTTACATTAAACCAATGCATGACCCACTATATATCCTGTCATGCTCCAGTGATCTCCACACACAAACTTTCTACATTTTGATCACTAATTAGAAGAACTTTTCTATATTGTTCTAGCATTAATGACAGAATAAGAAAGCTGAACAGAATTAAAAATATTGCTGTATCATTGGGATACAAAAACAAATCAGTCGAAGATCTTATCAAAAGATTTAAGGAAGTCAAAGAAAGATCAAAAACAAGAAGCAATAAGATATCTAAGTTCACATGTGATAAAGACTTAAAGAGCATCATGAATGAGATTGCAAATCATAAAGAATCAGAACTTGTATTCAAAAGAGCACCCATCATTTATAGACTTCTTAGGAATGAAAAAGAAAAAACAAAAAAGTACAAAGCAGGAATTTATAGAATTCCATATGTAAACAAACAGTTGGAAGTAAAAAATAAATCGCAGTCACAAAGAGAAATCTCGAAATATGCTTTAAAGAGCATAAATACATCATCAAATAAGCACTGTGTTGTCTTCCATGGCCCAAGTGTAAAGTGAGAGAAGGCCATCATCATAAAACCAGTGCATTCACCATCGTTAGCAATGAGTACAGAAAAATTAGAAATATACATTAGTAGGATAATAGGCAAGTGTCTGAAAACTAGAGACACTGAAGGAATACCATCTGCATGGAAATACATCATGGAGAAAAACTAAAGCATATCAATTTATAAAGTGCCCTTCGGTCAAAGAAGTAATATTACATTTTCATTTTATTTTATTATTAATTTAATTTGATTTTGTTTAACATTCATCTCTTCAAAATTGTTTTGTGTTCTTTTATTCATATTTAAATTTATTATATTCAAAATTCTGTTGGAATGTTATATTCTAATGATACAATGTAATATAATGCTTGAGGATGGCTTGTAGAACAAACCGAAAATGTTTGTGATGATTCCTTGGCAAAATAATGTGTTGTAAGTGGTTGAGAAAAAAGTAAATAAAACATTGAGTAGAACACTGTTATCAATAAATATAAATTCATAGTTTATTTTTTAAAATAAGTAGTCATCAGTATTATATATGAAGGGCACCCAGAAAGTAAAGAACATTTGCGTTTAGTACTCTACACAGGAAAATTACCACCTTCGATTCAAGGTCAATTTGTTCTCTAATGTGTTGGCTTAGCATGTGTAGAGTTTCGAATTACCAGGATTATTGTTACTTTTTGTCAAGGGTTAAAACTTGTACAAAAATCAAAAAGCCCACCAAATGTGAAGTATTATTCATTTTCTAAACATGAAGAGAGTTTGTCCTGTCAAAATTCATTAACAAATCATGGAAGTGTATGGCAATCACATTATAAATAAAGCAAGTGAAAGAAAATGGTGTTTAATGTTTAATCAAGGAAGATAATGCATGACTACACTCAACTGCAGCCACTGAAGCTATGCTTCAGAAATTTAGCTGTGATGTTTTCAGTCAGCTACCATACAGTCCTGACAGGTGAAAATCACTAGAGTCCCCAGTGACTTTTATCTCTTTTCCAAGCTGAAAGAATTTTTGGGTGGATTTGGGGCATTTTAGAATAGATGAAAGGTGAAAGAAGCTGTCACTAACTGGCTGAAGGAACTGGTGATGGAAGGCTATGACAGAGGAATGCAAAAACTAGTATGCTACCACAAGTGCTTTAACCATAATGGTGACTATGTAGAAAGTTTTATTAAGTAATTAGTACAAGACCAGTTACTCGTACTAATTACTTAAAAAACTTTCTTCTTATCATTACTGTTTTTTTCCTTATTTTAAAAGCAAATGTTATTTACTTTCTGGACACACCTCGTACATACACACAAACTTCCACATTAAGAACTTCATAACAAAATTTTACAATAGAATGGTAAAAATATGACTTATGTCACATTAAAAATTGTCCCTGTTTGACAAAGTTTAATTTCTATACAATAAAGTTTTCAAAGCCAGATTATTGGGTGTAAATACCAACAGATAGAGTGGAGTGACAGTGGGAGATAAATACTCTTAGCACCCAGCTAAAATTACTCTAGTTAATTAATTACCCCTCTATTCAGTACAAACGGACCAAGGATAAACTTTCTATTAGTAGAAAATTTCCATTGAAAAAATGGATCAAGATTAGAATAAGAAATTGTACGGTCACTGATTTGATTTGCTTCTTCAGCTGATTTAGCAAAAGTGCAAATGAAATAAATTATTTTTTCTATTTTATTTGTTTTAATTTCTTCAATGTTTATAAATATGTAAAAGTCAAACATGATGGATATTAAATTACTATAGCTATATAATTTTAACACTGCAAAATAATAATTAACTTATATACATTCATATAATAATAATAAATTATAATGTACTATAACTTTTTTGTCAGTGAGTGTATTTGACTCAATGACAAAGTTATACACCAAGAAGGCATTATTGGAATCTTATTAAATTTTATTAGTGCAAGAATAATTACAATAATAATAACTGATTACAATAACATAGCAAAGGAATAATTTTCTGCAGTACAACAATACAATTTATGGCAACCTTTAGCAGACATATAAACATAGTATGCTATCCTGTGACAAATTTGCCCAAAAATGTTACAACTGCCATTCCATGTCCCTTACTCTCATGGGTGGCTGAAGCTGTTATCCCACCTAGTCCCACAAATGCTGTGCAACAAATCTGAATGTCAGGCAGACCACAGATTGTGGCAGTGTGATAAAGACATATCTGGAAAAACCTAGTTTTGTGCAGCCAAGCATTATCTTGCTGGCAAATTGCTGTTTGGAGCTTTGTTATGAAAGGTAACACACAAAAGTACAGAATTTTCTCAAAAGCCTGCTGTGTCATATGTGGCACTACTATGCCCAAATGGCATATAAAATGGTTCCCCAGAATAACATGCCAGCAGTAAAAATAGTTTACCTCTCAACCATAAAGAGGTAATTGAAATGCTCACCAGTGGTCTATCACACTAACATGGTGATCATCCATTCCCAAATAGAATCAGGATTTATCACTATAGAAATACTCTGCCAGTCCATAACAGTTCATGCTTCTCTGTCATGGCACCACTGCAAACAAAGCCAATGATGTTGGGATGTTAATGGTAGGATATATTGCTGTAACCATGCATGCAAATTTGTCACTGATAGTTACTGACCATTGTATAAGAAAAGAAAGTTCTGTAATGAGGTTTCCACCTATCTTTGAATAGTGAACAGACATCCCTGTAGCTGTTTTTGCTTGTTTCACAATAAGACAATCATCCCTCCAAATAGTCTGTCTAGGATGTGATAGTCTGTAACACATCCTAAATACATGCATGCCCTGATGTATCTACTGACCCAACACCATCTCAGACTCAAGTCAGAATGGTCCAGATAGCAGGTAATTTAGCAAAACAGTCATCCTGTTTCCATCAGTCCAACAATATTGCCTTTCTCAGATTCTGTTGGCTGTGCATAATGTTTGTGGCTACAATGTACAGGTTTGCATGCCATTCAAAGTCCTTCAAACAACAGATACACTGAAAATTATGAATGCAGTGAGCTTCTGCAATCCTTTATAACAGAATAAAATGATAGCAATTTTGAGGCAATATGGTGGCATTACCTGACATGCAATCAAGCCAGAACTGTAATCATTTACATATCTTTCTGTAACATAGCTGTATGTAGAATTTTGCCGTAATCAGACATTCTATTTGTGACATAACTTTTTTGTCAATGAAGTCAAATTAAATTTATGATGATAATTATACTTATTAGAATATTTTTTATATTTTTTAACCATATAAATTACTTTTAAAACTAATATTTCCTCAAACTATAAATGGTTATTATTTAGCTTTATATAAAGAATTCACTACTGAATGAAATCACAGTAAAACAATTAACATTTTTTCCCATAAGATCTACATAAATTATTTTCATTAAATCAATAAATCCAAAATGCGAATTATTTGTTAAAATATATTTTAACTTTAATTAATATATAACCTATGAAATTATGTAAAATCCTGCGTAAATTAAAAAAAACAGAAGAATAATTTTAATTAGATATAAAAAGAAAATTGATTTCTTTATGTAACAAAGCTTGCCTTTAGTACAATATTATTATTTTCATTAAATTAAATAAACAATAGAAAAACTTTAATATTTACAAACAATAACTTTTATAAAACATCTATGACAATGATATTTAATGTATGATAAATCATAACTTTCATAAAAACAAATATTTTATTGCAGCTATTTAAAATTATTTATATATTACACAGTATAGTGACACAGCACACATTTTCTGACGGTCAGAACTGAATTCAAAATTTATCAATTCTGAATCATGGGTCAAATACTTAATTTGGGTAATTAAAATATTTTTAAAAAATGCTTACAAATTTTACATTATTTAACTTTTTAATCTGTATGATTAGGACCTTGCTTTCATAATACTATATATATACACAAGGTTTTTAATCTATCAAATATGCTTTTATAATTTATAAAAACCTAATGCATTCCAAACATTCAATTCTGAGACCTTAAAAATATCAAGCAAGTCACAATTTGCCATCACTTGTACAGGATAATAGGGAGGAAGTTGCAAAGTGTAACTACTTATAAATTGTTATTAATTATAAAATTCATAAGTAAAAAAAATCTTAAATTTATGACGTAAAATTATTTAAATTAATTCATTTTTAAACGTAAAAATATAAAATTCTGTAATTTTTAAATAAACTATTTGAGATTTAGACATTAATTCCAAAATAACTCATTAATTCTTGTAAAATCAGAGAAAAATTATATTATGTTCCAATTATCTCATACAGTATTTTTATTTAACATTGAAAATTATCAATTTAAAAAATAATAATATTATTATTATTACACAACTGTTTAAATATTTTAATTAATTTTTTTAATATACATTTTTATGTTACATAAAATCAAAAATTTAAAAATACATACCCTAATTGTTTAGTATAATCCAAATATCCTAGTAAAATTTCATGATAAACAGCAGTTCTAAAATGCTTTGGTCTAAAGAAATGTACACTATCTAGATAAGCTATATACACTCTCCTGAAAAGTAAAATGTAAAGTGATTAGATAATTTATCAAAAATAATATCATAATGTATATTTATCTAATACATGTCAACTAAATATATTAAATGTATTTAATTTAAAAAAAAACATTTAAAAATGTGTAAAAACAGTTAAAAAAAACTATTAATTGTTGTAATTTCCAACTACAATTTAATAATGATGATGATGATGATGATAATAATAACAATTATTATTTTAACTGGAATTAAATAAAGCAATTTCAAGAAAAAAATTAGTCGAAAAGAAAGAATAACAGTTAAAGGAACAAAAACTTGACTGTCTACGGGTTACTAGTATTTGATATTTTGTTTCAATTTGAAAAATTGGATTTAATCTAATAAATTCATACATCATTCTTTATTACTTTCATTATTAATAAAATTGTTTATTTCAAAAACTGATTGTCATAATTCTGAAAAGCATATTATATAGCTTATTACTGATCAGTTTAAGTTTCATAAGATATACAAAATTACAGTATAACTTTTTATTAAACTTTTATTATGTTATGTTACTTGTTTATATTATGTTATTATGTTATGTAACTTTTGTTATGTAATCAAAACATTTCAGTAATTTAGATTTTTATTAGAAAGAATATAAAAAATTTAAAAAATATAAATACCATTAAATTCACGAATAAATAATGAATGAAACATTTATATTCAAAGTTACAAGTTCATCACATTTTCAAACTTTACATTATACTGCACTGCTTTTTGAAACATATTTTTGTGATGCAAGAAAATTTTAGGAAAATATATTAAAAAAATTTAATAATAACCTCAAATCATTTAACATAAAACAAATTAATAACTATTATATAATATAATAATAGTAATTGATATTCTCAACATCACATCAAAAAATAAAAGTTAGTTAGTTTGATTTACATACAAGCATGCAAATTTTCAAACAGCAATTTTCAACAGAATATTACAAGGTGAAAACACAATATTACACAATTTTATGCTGATTAACTTTAAATCACTTATACATAAGACTAACCCATAATAAGGCAAAAGGTCAAAGTTCTTACAAAAATTATAACACTAAATTAAACTAATAATAAATTAAAAATTTTTGATTATATACTATAACTTAATATTATACATAAAATATTTATACCTTGTATTTGGTTGTGCACAATCAGATCCATATTCTTGAACATGCATTCCAAAAAAGCAAACATCAACTCCATCAATTTCCTCAAATGCAAATAATGCCTTTGTTCTATAAGGAAAATGATCTGGCCATTGTCCTGTATCAACATAGCTTTAAAAAAAATTATTAAAAAACATATTAGTAAAAACCTTTAAAGGATCAAAAATAATTTTTAAGTTATTCTTACTTAGTTTTTTGTTCATAACTTTATAATTTAAAATTAAAATTTAAGTTTAAGGTACAGCAAAGGTACAGTAAACTAAAGGTTAGCAAGTCCTCACTTAACATTGTATATAGGTTCTTTGAAACTGCAAGTGTTAAGCGAAAACGACATAAGTTATAATTAAACCAGTTTTACTATTGGCTAAATATATAAAGATATAATTCAATGATAACTACTAAAATTTATCCTTTTCAGATTCTACTTGAATGCAACTGACATTTGATTTGTATTTCTCCTGAGGAAGATCAATAAAATAGGCTGAAAACATCAAAAATTAAAGTTGTCACTGCAATTTCATTGTTTATTGGCAAGTCTTTACATACAATTCAGCTGTTATTATTTGAATTGAATCATATTTGCAAACTCCAGCATTTATTTTCCACCTCACAGAATTAATTTTACCATTTATAATGAAAATTGAATTGTAACTTCACATAACAATTGTAAATGATTATAAATGTACTTATATCTTTTCCTCAATGATGTTAAGGGGGGATTTGCTGTATTATTATTATCATATGTTAAAATAATTTAAAAAGTAATTTATAGCTAAAATTATAATAACTTTAACTCTCAGAATATCTGAATATTAGAAAAACTGCATCTTGACAATACTTTTTTAATGAATAGATTAAAAAAAACTTGCTACTAAACAGAAAAGTCTATTTCAAATCAAATTTTAGAAAACAAATGGTATCAGTGAAAACATCAAATACCACCATTTATGTAATGATACATTTCAGAAGATTTTTCTGAATCAGTATCTTTTTTAACATTTGTTAAAAAACATATTTATTCAGGAAACTGTAGTTAATTAAAATCAAAGATTTTTGATGTATTATGCAAATGGTTTTGAAAACAAAAATCAAATAAGCAATACATTTATGTATCCATGAACTAAGAGAAATGCTAACTTAATAATAAAAAAAAAAACCTTTTAGACTGACATGTTATTTTTTATTCAGATGACGATAAATTTTAAAATACAGTAGAACCTCGATTATCCGGACTAATTGGGGATGAAGGTAGTCTGGATAAGGAAAATCCGGATAATCGAAACAAATACTTTAATTTGTCTTTTAATGATAATACAACACGTTTTCTTTTCGATGACATATCGGTNAAATTAAATAAACAATAGAAAAACTTTAATATTTACAAACAATAACTTTTATAAAACATCTATGACAATGATATTTAATGTATGATAAATCATAACTTTCATAAAAACAAATATTTTATTGCAGCTATTTAAAATTATTTATATATTACACAGTATAGTGACACAGCACACATTTTCTGACGGTCAGAACTGAATTCAAAATTTATCAATTCTGAATCATGGGTCAAATACTTAATTTGGGTAATTAAAATATTTTTAAAAAATGCTTACAAATTTTACATTATTTAACTTTTTAATCTGTATGATTAGGACCTTGCTTTCATAATACTATATATATACACAAGGTTTTTAATCTATCAAATATGCTTTTATAATTTATAAAAACCTAATGCATTCCAAACATTCAATTCTGAGACCTTAAAAATATCAAGCAAGTCACAATTTGCCATCACTTGTACAGGATAATAGGGAGGAAGTTGCAAAGTGTAACTACTTATAAATTGTTATTAATTATAAAATTCATAAGTAAAAAAAATCTTAAATTTATGACGTAAAATTATTTAAATTAATTCATTTTTAAACGTAAAAATATAAAATTCTGTAATTTTTAAATAAACTATTTGAGATTTAGACATTAATTCCAAAATAACTCATTAATTCTTGTAAAATCAGAGAAAAATTATATTATGTTCCAATTATCTCATACAGTATTTTTATTTAACATTGAAAATTATCAATTTAAAAAATAATAATATTATTATTATTACACAACTGTTTAAATATTTTAATTAATTTTTTTAATATACATTTTTATGTTACATAAAATCAAAAATTTAAAAATACATACCCTAATTGTTTAGTATAATCCAAATATCCTAGTAAAATTTCATGATAAACAGCAGTTCTAAAATGCTTTGGTCTAAAGAAATGTACACTATCTAGATAAGCTATATACACTCTCCTGAAAAGTAAAATGTAAAGTGATTAGATAATTTATCAAAAATAATATCATAATGTATATTTATCTAATACATGTCAACTAAATATATTAAATGTATTTAATTTAAAAAAAAACATTTAAAAATGTGTAAAAACAGTTAAAAAAAACTATTAATTGTTGTAATTTCCAACTACAATTTAATAATGATGATGATGATGATAATAATAATAACAATTATTATTTTAACTGGAATTAAATAAAGCAATTTCAAGAAAAAAATTAGTCGAAAAGAAAGAATAACAGTTAAAGGAACAAAAACTTGACTGTCTACGGGTTACTAGTATTTGATATTTTGTTTCAATTTGAAAAATTGGATTTAATCTAATAAATTCATACATCATTCTTTATTACTTTCATTATTAATAAAATTGTTTATTTCAAAAACTGATTGTCATAATTCTGAAAAGCATATTATATAGCTTATTACTGATCAGTTTAAGTTTCATAAGATATACAAAATTACAGTATAACTTTTTATTAAACTTTTATTATGTTATGTTACTTGTTTATATTATGTTATTATGTTATGTAACTTTTGTTATGTAATCAAAACATTTCAGTAATTTAGATTTTTATTAGAAAGAATATAAAAAATTTAAAAAATATAAATACCATTAAATTCACGAATAAATAATGAATGAAACATTTATATTCAAAGTTACAAGTTCATCACATTTTCAAACTTTACATTATACTGCACTGCTTTTTGAAACATATTTTTGTGATGCAAGAAAATTTTAGGAAAATATATTAAAAAAATTTAATAATAACCTCAAATCATTTAACATAAAACAAATTAATAACTATTATATAATATAATAATAGTAATTGATATTCTCAACATCACATCAAAAAATAAAAGTTAGTTAGTTTGATTTACATACAAGCATGCAAATTTTCAAACAGCAATTTTCAACAGAATATTACAAGGTGAAAACACAATATTACACAATTTTATGCTGATTAACTTTAAATCACTTATACATAAGACTAACCCATAATAAGGCAAAAGGTCAAAGTTCTTACAAAAATTATAACACTAAATTAAACTAATAATAAATTAAAAATTTTTGATTATATACTATAACTTAATATTATACATAAAATATTTATACCTTGTATTTGGTTGTGCACAATCAGATCCATATTCTTGAACATGCATTCCAAAAAAGCAAACATCAACTCCATCAATTTCCTCAAATGCAAATAATGCCTTTGTTCTATAAGGAAAATGATCTGGCCATTGTCCTGTATCAACATAGCTTTAAAAAAAATTATTAAAAAACATATTAGTAAAAACCTTTAAAGGATCAAAAATAATTTTTAAGTTATTCTTACTTAGTTTTTTGTTCATAACTTTATAATTTAAAATTAAAATTTAAGTTTAAGGTACAGCAAAGGTACAGTAAACTAAAGGTTAGCAAGTCCTCACTTAACATTGTATATAGGTTCTTTGAAACTGCAAGTGTTAAGCGAAAACGACATAAGTTATAATTAAACCAGTTTTACTATTGGCTAAATATATAAAGATATAATTCAATGATAACTACTAAAATTTATCCTTTTCAGATTCTACTTGAATGCAACTGACATTTGATTTGTATTTCTCCTGAGGAAGATCAATAAAATAGGCTGAAAACATCAAAAATTAAAGTTGTCACTGCAATTTCATTGTTTATTGGCAAGTCTTTACATACAATTCAGCTGTTATTATTTGAATTGAATCATATTTGCAAACTCCAGCATTTATTTTCCACCTCACAGAATTAATTTTACCATTTATAATGAAAATTGAATTGTAACTTCACATAACAATTGTAAATGATTATAAATGTACTTATATCTTTTCCTCAATGATGTTAAGGGGGGATTTGCTGTATTATTATTATCATATGTTAAAATAATTTAAAAAGTAATTTATAGCTAAAATTATAATAACTTTAACTCTCAGAATATCTGAATATTAGAAAAACTGCATCTTGACAATACTTTTTTAATGAATAGATTAAAAAAAACTTGCTACTAAACAGAAAAGTCTATTTCAAATCAAATTTTAGAAAACAAATGGTATCAGTGAAAACATCAAATACCACCATTTATGTAATGATACATTTCAGAAGATTTTTCTGAATCAGTATCTTTTTTAACATTTGTTAAAAAACATATTTATTCAGGAAACTGTAGTTAATTAAAATCAAAGATTTTTGATGTATTATGCAAATGGTTTTGAAAACAAAAATCAAATAAGCAATACATTTATGTATCCATGAACTAAGAGAAATGCTAACTTAATAATAAAAAAAAAAACCTTTTAGACTGACATGTTATTTTTTATTCAGATGACGATAAATTTTAAAATACAGTAGAACCTCGATTATCCGGACTAATTGGGGATGAAGGTAGTCTGGATAAGGAAAATCCGGATAATCGAAACAAATACTTTAATTTGTCTTTTAATGATAATACAACACGTTTTCTTTTCGATGACATATCGGTAATATTAAAAATAAATACTGTATTTAAATCGTGATCAAATTTTCAAGAAACAAACGTTTGTATTGAATTTGGACTTCTACTGACCAGCGCTAACAGACTAGCTATTGTTTAAAAGGCCCTCTGGCGGCTCAAGAGGACGGATTTTATAAAATAAAAAGCAGTCGAAACTGCTTTTTATGAATAAAAATTTGACAAGCTATTTATCGCTTTATGACGAGAAAATTTTTTAGTCGCGTTCATGGCTTTTAAGTAATGTGTAAACCTTCGAGGCACGAGGCCCTTTGGACTGCGTGGCATAGACGGTGGCCCATGTTGCCCATGCCTTACGCCGCCCTTGGTCATAGAAATGACGTAATTTGAATATAAATTATTTATAAATACGTATGTCAAGTTATATTTTTATTATGACGCAAAATATATTTAAGAGTTTACGGCCACTGTGCTGGGTGAGACGTTGTTGAAATAAAAAAAAATTATGCATTCCATCACATACATAAACAGTGTCGTAATTCGCGAAGTGCAAATCAGCAAATTCGTAAAATTTTTATTTATTTTCAACAATCCAGATAATCGAAAATCCGGATAATAGAGGTCCGGATAATCGAGGTTCTACTGTATATACATTAATGCATTTAATACAATATATTAGCTTGTCAAAATTCATACGAACCGACTCTTCATTCCAGGTTTCACTTCCACTACTTTGTCAGAACTAGAAACAACACGAACAGTAACTTCTCCTGCTCCAGAATCTTTTTTCTTCAGAAAATTATTTACACGATTCTCAATATAGTTTCCAAGTTTTGTAGGAGGAAGTCCTGAAAATATTATTATTTTTATTAAAAATTATTGCTATTAACGAATACATTACTCTAATATTGTTAAATTTTTTTTCTATTACTATTCTTTAAAAATCACTGCAAATATTTGCCCCTATGTAATAGCTACAAATTTATAAATGAAATTAACAACAAAATTACTATATTTTAATAATACAGCACTAATTATAATGTAATTAATTACATTAACTTTCTTCTGATTTAATCTAATTTAAATTAACTTTTTCTATAATAAATTAAAATCAGAAAAAAATTACAGTTGTGAAAACAATTTCTATAAAGTTGAAGTTTGTTAAATTCATAATAAATTAATTTATCACACACATTTTATAATGCTGAGACATCCTTTTGCATTTTATTCATATAAATGCAAAACAAAATAATTTTACTACAAAATATTTCCTTTAATGAAACAAACATAAAATTAAACTGTATTATGAAAATAATAATCAGTATTCTGAGATATTCCATTGTAGAATACAAACACTGCCTATAGAAAATTAATTTTTCTCATTCATAACAATTACTTTACTTACTTTTAGCTGTAAATTTATTTTCTTTTCTTTTTCGTCCTTTTGCTTTTAAACAATTCTCACAACAAAATCTATATGTACATAAAAAAAAAAACAAAGTCCATATAAAAATTTGTCCATATAATAATAATAATGATTATAATTTATGTATGATTTGTTATAATTTGTATTTAAATATGTAGCAAATAAAAGAAACCATACCCTTCAGGCCAAATAGGATCAAAATGGAGCATACATATTTGATGCAATTTTCTTCCACATTCATTACATTCCACAAATCTAAAATGAATATATTCAAAATTAGAATAACTAAATATTTAATTCAAAATAACTTATTTATTCCTTCTTTTTTCTTCTTCTTTTTACTTGATAGAAGCAACATCAAGTAAATTGGAGTAAATAAAAAACAATGAATAGAAACAATAACTTAAAAGTCATATTTGTTTATATTTTACAACTGGAAAATTGAAAGGAAATGCTTTTTCTGTGCAAAAACTGTTTATTAGTTACACAGGTCTTATATTATGCTAATTATATTAACTTACACAAAAAGAAAAAACTTTCACAAAACTTTTTCCTGTTCAGATCATCAAATAATCTAGAAAATAATTTCATGGATAAAAATGAAAGTGATTTTAAAAAATACTCAAGTCATGGAAGTCATCAGTGAAATTTCTGAAACATACTGGTAAGGGGTAGAGAATTTCCCAACATCCCCATGTGTGAAGTAAAATTGCTCAAACATCACCAAAAATCTTGTCTTCTGTCATGTTCTGTAGAAAAAGCTCTACATGTCCACATTCATCAATTTGATACTCTAGAAATCTCCAACTTCATGATCTCTTTTTATATATCAGTAATTACTGCTGATTTTCTTTTCAAAAATTTCTATTCAAGTGCAGTCTATGCTAGATAATTGTAAATTTTTTTATCATACAAAATGGCTAAGATAACTTGGGTTAAAACTGGTATTTTTCAATACTTTACTATAACCATACATGGGAAACTTTGTGTGTGTCAATATGCAATTCATGATGATGAGGATGATGATGATAGTGATGATAATGAAAAACACTGAAAAAAAAGGATAAATACTAAATACTTTCGCGGTTTTGACAGGAATGCCAGATATATCCTTTTAAAAAAAATGCTTAAAAAGGTAGCTTAATGATTCACTTAAACTGATGAAATGCCATTCTGGGTTAATATAATCAAAATATATTTTAAATTATTATTTAGAAGTAAGTCAGACACAGACTTTCTAAAGTTCTATGAATTAAATTTGAATTGGGAGCTTCATCTAATGACTCCACAGACCCAAAAGTCACCAAGTTTAAGAGAAGTGTCCTCATTAAAATAAGTCAAAATCAGTAGGAAAGCATACAAATAGATCCAATCTGCTATTTTAGAGGTAGGTTCTTAATAAAAGTCTTAAAATTTTAAACCACTGGTATTGAAAAAAATTGCATGAGATAAACAGAAACAGACATTTTTGCTGTTTATATTTACCTCACGGATTCAAAACTTCTAATGAAAGGATACTAAGATAATAACCCATAACACAATTTTTAATAAAATGAGTTATAATAAAACACCAACAAATTTTGTCAAACATCAAAAGCATGTATCCGACCATCATGAAATGCAAACAGGTCTGACATTTAGAATAGTGATGCCAGTCTAATAGAACAATGTTTGGTTTATTTGGTTACATCAATGCATGAGTAATCTGCCAATGGAAAATGTCTCCTAGGAAGTCTTTTATGGGAAACTATTTAGATGTTACTAACATGAAAAAAACCGGAAAACTCCATGTGACCAGTCTGTTGGTGAGATACAAACCCACAACCAACTACCAGCATTTAGTACTTTTATCCAATCAGTGACTAGTGGACCATATTGCAACAGAACAATGTCCATATTTTTTTTAAAATATAATGTTCTAAGAGATAGCATAGAAGAATTTCTAATTTGTTGGTTAGTTTCTTTTTTGGTCAGACACACATGTACAAAATTTTCTTCAAGTTTGTTTCTATTACTGTACCCCATTTTACAGTATAATTATTTTTATTTTTCACTTGTAAAAATAAAGTTATGATAATTTAAGTGCTAATTATTTATGTATCTATTATAACATTTCACTATACCTTTAAAATGCAGTCTACTTTTGTCAGTACACGACAATATTCCAAATGCTAAGAAATGACAAAACACCAATAGACAGGAGGCTAGTTCCAGGTGTGTACAGAATACCGTTGCATGATAAAAGGCTAAAGAAAGAGTTATATTATATAGGAGCCACAAAGAGATCATTAAGAGAAAGATTGAAGGAGCACGAAAAAAATATAAGATCTAAACAACCGATCACGGCTTTGGCCAATTATGCTATCGCGGATCCTGCAGAGATTACAATCGAATGGAGCAAGGCGGATATTATACAAAAGATTGCTAATATACGACATCTAAAGTATGCAGAGGCATGGCACATTTATAAATACAGAAAAAAGGGGCTAAATATAAATTTTCGAGAGTCAAGTAGAATAGCATCGGCATGGAGAGCGGCGGCATTATAAAGAGCTAATGGACATGCGCGATCGAATATCTGAAGATTATAGAACTTGCGTTGTTCGAATTACCGTTGGGAAAGTTAAAATTTTTAAAATTTTTTACATCAATCCTGAAGAAGGTCTATGAATTAGACCGAAAACGTTAGAGAACTAGCCAAAAGTAGACTGCATTTTAAAGGTATAGTGGAATGTCAAAATGCATTTATGAGAAAAATAAAGAAAATAACTTTACTCCTTCACTGACCTACCTCAGTTACAGAACTGAGGAAGGTCAGTGAAACTTATTGAAAATGTTCTTAATTTTTATTAAATTTGCTGGATTTATAAAGGTGCAAGTTTTTTATGAATTATTCTATAGAAACATGTATGCTATAAGATCATATATTGTGCTGTATGTGTGTATGACAAAGCTGACGGAAACTGTATATACTGTAAGCACAAAAAGAGGCAAATTATGTATGCTCATTAGCACTTCACTTGACTTCATAATTTGTTAAAAAAAAATGTCCATTTTGGTTTGTTTTGATGCCACTTCTCTGCCTATTGGATTTATAGTATTGAATACAACAACCACTTGATATTAGTAATGTCATGTACAGCCTGTTTGTTTATGCTGAAACTTGTCAGGAGGTCTTCATGACTTGGAAAGATCCAATGGCCTTGCTAAATTTCGGCACTACACTTGGACCAGTGTCAGAATGTTCACTAGATGGCTCCTCCTCAATTGTATCAGCCTGCTGAATCTCTTTGTACAATTCTTCAATTTTTTATATCCCAGATGTAACTACACTGCACTAACCTTAAATATAAACTTTTAAAAATATGTAATTTGGAATAATATATTATTAATAAATAATAGAAAAATATATGTTTTGTTAATTAATTTATGTAATTTATGTATTAATGTAACAAGTGCATTGTGCATCATTGAACTCTACAAATTCCCAGGAACACCCAAATATTAACTAAACATTGTAATTTACAATAGATGGGCATAGAAAAAGTCCATTATTGAGTTATGGATCAGCTAAAAGAAGGTAAAATTACATTGATTTGGCAGGATATGGGAAAAATACGTTATTCTGAGAAATCTGTTCTGCAATCTGTTAAAATGAAATTCTACTGTATAAATAATTATCTAAACTTCATCAGTCTTCAGATAAAAAGAGATGTTTGATTTAATTTTGAAGTCTTGAAATATATAGTTAGGAATGCATTCTTTTACTATCTTCATTTAAAATTTTCCAAATTAACTGTATAAACTAATTAAATAAAAATTTATTCACAGCTCCTGTATGCTCTATTCAAAAGCAAACATTAAGCATTAACATAGAGTTTATGAGATCACAAATAACATTATTACTGGAAGGGATACCAGTTAACTCAACACACTTGTATATTGGAACATACTATTAACTCAATCTGTCTTCTGTTCAAGATATCAACTATTTCAGCATTTCAGTATAACTTGCAACTTCATCACCATACCCCAACATTAGTTTAACTGCTTAAATTACTTCAAAGTTCTTAGGTGCTCCCAATTTCAGTTAATCTGATTCTATAAAGTTCTCCATCCTACAGAAACTCCATTTTGAGGGTTGCCAAACTAGAGTTGAATTGAAAATTTACTTTTAAATGGTGAATCCTCTGCTTCTCCTAAATTAGCCATCTTCAGCATTTTCAATCAAACTCTCCATTCATCTGTCTTGAGAGACTTCCTTCTTGAATCTGCATCATGCTTCACACTATTTGTTTCAAAACATTGTATGTTCAAAATCAAAATTGTTCAGTTCATTGGATAGCACAGAATCTTAACATATATAATAATAATATATAATAATTTATAATTATATATTAATTATATTATTATATATAGATAAGTGTGTGTGTCTGTACAAATCTTAAATAAGTCTCTATAATAAAAAATAACTTATTTATTCTGATATATGAAAGTCCATTTTTATACTCGCACTTGTTTAGTACAATTTGNATATGTTTTTGTTAATTAATTTATTTTAATTTCTAGGCTAGAGCATCTGCACAAGCAGCTTCTGATTTAAGAGAACTACTACGACAAAAACTCGATAAGGATAGTTTTGTAAAAAAGGCTCAACAAGTATTCTTAGAATCAAGATTAGAAAACTTGCCTTATGTAAAATATCAAGTTTCTTTTCATGATTAAATTTTACTAATATTAATTTTTTTAAATGTAAATATAGTACTTAATCAGTAATTCTTTTTCATTGGAAATTTGAATGAGAAAAGTTACTGATGAAAATAAGGATTTCATAATAAGTTATGAAAACAATCAGCTTCAACAGGGCATTACTATTTATTTAAAGTGTATAATAACAAATGGGACATGTAACAAATGCATATTTAAATATCTTAATTTATTGCTTAAATATGAATTTGTGATCTATTTTAAGTCATATTATTTATTTTATTAATGAGCTATAATTTTCTTTTAATATTCATAATATAAACCATTTAATAAACACCTTTTTGGCTGCTGAGATTTGCTTTTAGTTAGCAAAACAGGTGTTTATAGAATGATTTTGAATTATTCTACTGAGGTTGATTTAGTTTATTCATAATATAATTACATACTAAATTATATTTATTGTTTAGAAATAATAAATATAATGTAGGGAATATTAAACATTGTTTATAATTTTAGATTTTAATAACTTTTTTTTTTTTTTTGGAAATATTAAATGAAGAGAGGAAGCTGTTTAGTTTGTAATAATAATATGAAGGTATCATTCTAAATGTATATTTTAACAATTTTTTAAATTTATAATCTGAAGAGAAGTTACATTAAAATGAACTCAGTATTATTAAAGATACTGTGGATCTACACCAATATACAAGGTTTATCTGATAACTATCTGATCTCATGCTAAAAAAACAAAATATTTATCCTAGAACAATAGTGCCTTAGTCTCCTTCAAAGTACAAGCCTTGGAAAGTCCTTGTCTTAATCTAACATTCCTTCCATTTTTTGAAGCAATTTACAAACTCAGCTTTTGACTAGCCAGTAGCTATTTTCTTATGTTTCCCTTGATCTGCTCCACATCTTCAAATATCTTCCCTTTCAAGGACTATTTTGATTTTGGGAACAGCCAGAAATTAAAGGAAGTCATTTCAGGATTATACAAAAACTGACAAACTTGTTTTGCCAAAAATTGTTGGATCAGGTGAGATGAGTGGGAAGGCATGATGCATAAAGTTGTTAATTATCACTTTTGAAGGCAGTTTTCTCTTCACTGCATCTCTTAATCTCATAATTACCTAATGGGTACTTTACGTGGGTTCGTGTTTATTGTTGCCAGGCCTGGGCTTTTTGCATGCACCGGAGTAAATTAAGGACCAAGTTAGTAAAAAAACCAATAAAAATGTTTAATCAAGTCCTAGAAATAACTATGTACAGTACAATATTTACAACAAATCAACAAATTTATTCAAGTAAAATCAATCCACAGTCAACCCGACAAAAACTCAATCTAAGTCTAACTTAAAACTATTCCCCTTGGAATTCCGACAAAATCAATCCTTAACTTAGGTACAGAATTTTTTATAACTACAAATCCTAACCGTCACCTCAATTATACTAGGAACCTTTTTCTCAACTCAAGACTTTGTCTATCCTCGATCCACAGATCGAATACTGCAATCGCCTTGGACTATTTTCCTATTGGACACCTCTTGTTCACTGCTACTAAGCACACAAACGCTTGTTCTTTGCATGAGCTCACCTCTGCTGTCTTCACTTGAGGTATGCTTTTTATAGTCTGAGGTGACATCACAGTTTCTAAGTGAGACACTCCCCTCATTTACATACATGTAACATTAACTTTTCTCTTGGTTATCTGGTAGCTTACTTCCCGACAATACTTTGTTAATCTTTTACATTATTTTGTTGAACAATTATCGGGATGTTTCCTTCTTTTTAAGGTTTAAGAAGTTCCTAAGTTTGTGGGGTTTCCCCCCCTTCAGTGCGGACTTACTATCTGCCGCTCGGGCGTGCACGTGAGTGCGAGTGTTAGCTATGGCGCTTTCTTTTCTTCGTCGGTGAGTTGGTTTTATCTTCTCTTTTTAACTTTCTAAGGTGACGGGTGAGGAAACCTTCGTCCTAACTAAACATAAGCCCCAAACAAAAATATAATAAAAGCAAAATAAAAGTAACTAAAAATAACGCTCGGACTTGGTTCCTTACATTATTAATTTAGTTAAGAGATGGCACCTAACGTCTACCTGTAGTTGTAGCTCGATTATTTAGGTGATTGTTGGTGAAGGTAACAGCTTTGGATGATCAGTTCTGCCAGACTAGTCTGCTATACAAAAACAAAAAAGTTCAGCCTGAATCAGTTGATTTTATGGTGCAGGAACATGCATGTGAGCAGTTTACTTCAAAATCATTTTTGTTTATTATAAAGTAATCATTTTGAAAGTGACAAAATTTTGAAGTCATATAGTTATGGAGCAAAACTCAGCAATTCTAGTAGGGTTGCCAACTGAAAAAAATAAAAGTAGCTAAAAGCAAACAAAAAAAAACTCTAAAAATAGCTAAAAAAATTTTCACAATTTGCTAAAAAAATGGCTAAACAAACAATAAAAACATACTTTTAATTAATCTATTTTTAACTTTATTCAAAAAGTTCATTTGTCGTTAAATTCCATTACTTCTTCAATTTCTTCATTGTGTTCAAAAGATGGTTTTGCTTCAAACTGTAAATGTTGGTATGATTTTATAGTGCCTATTTTTCGAATGACATTTGCTGGCAATTCATAATCATAGCTGCATTTCCCTAATCTTTTCAAACCATATCTAGTCGTTAATATGCTACTGAGTGAAATAATATTCAATCTATTCCACAGTTTGGTCTTAACAATATTCATCTGACTAAATAAGTGTTCTATTTGTGCGTTTGAGTGAGGTAATAAAAGAATTTTTAAAACAAAATTGACCAAGTCTTGAAAGGGATTTTCTCTGGCAACATCTTGGTATTGAGCTACCTCCATCCACAGGTTTATCGTGCTGGAAGTTTCTTTCCAGTGGATTGTATGGATTTTCCTCCATTGAAAGTCAATGTGAGTTAATACTGCATCATCAGCAAAAAACATTTTTGCAAGGTTTATTATATCTTTTAAATTAATTGGGTTGAGACAATGGTCAACACTTAGTGATGTCATGGTTTTCAACATTGATATAGTGTCAGGTAACCTTTGCTGAAGTTGTTTTATAAGAGACAAAAGGAAGGCAATGCACTACGAATATTTTTCTTTTCTTCATCTAACAGTGCAGAATTATTTATTTAAGTTTCAAACTGATAACCCAAATATGGATTGAGTGTTAAACAGTTTTCAATCACTACATCATTTGTTATTTTTGTTCCTGGAATAACAATCTTAGAATAAGATTCTATTAAATTTAGCAAGTCCTGTAGCAACTTCGTAGGATCATTATTCTTAGATTCAAATATTTTATTTAATCCCTGAACCTCATCAAGTACAGGTTTAAAAAATCAAAGAAATAAGAAATTTCTTTGATCATCAAACATCGAGAACAAAATTTCTGTCATGTAACATCTTTCGTTTGTTCTGCATTTATTGTACAGAATTTAGTTAATTTGTCTACATGAGTTATAGGACAACTTTCTGCTTCAAAAAGTGCCATATTTTCCTCTGTTCTATGAACATTTGAGTTTTTCGTAAATGGAAGAATGTTTGCACTCTGCTGAATACTAAACGATGGCTCGGCTTTTATGTTTTTGAGTTTTCCTATGCTTTTCAAATCACTTATTTTTGCTATCAAAATGCAGTTATAATATTTACAGTGACACTTTGTATTTTCTCCTTCTATTTCCTGTAACCAATTTTTATACCTATCGTCACATAGCAATTTTATTTGAAATTTGAATTAGGATTGGACCTGCTACAGCTAGTTGTGATGATAAATGCCCACTAAGCTCTGTCCCCTTTAAAAATGTTTACCATATTTGGTTATAAGAAAACTTGAGCTCTGATTAGTTTGCCACTTATTAAAAATAAGATTTGCTACTCATGCAGATAATTATTACACATTAAAGATAATATAAATGAATAAATTTATTAAATTTTAATAGATTTATGAAATTTTTTGATTTGTGGAAAATCTCTAAAATGTAGCTAAATTTACTAAAAAATCTCCAAGAAAAATCTCCATCACTAAATTTCAAAAAAGGGGCGCTAACTAAAGCAAAAACTTGCCAAATTTAGTGACTTTTTTTCTAAATTGGCAACGCTAAATTCTAGAGCTTTATTGCAGCTCCCATATTCCTATTATATACATTAGGAGTATGGGTCTAGTCTACATGTGCAAATGTGTGCAAGCACACACAGTATATGTTATATATAAAATACTGTTCCAATATAGAATGTGTGTGTCACATATTTCTGTGCATGATAGATATATTGCACCTATCATGACAAGATTTGGCCACCCCTGATACATAGAAATTCAACTCTCCACAGATTAAAGAACAAAGCTGTGTTGTGCATAGTATTATTTGGAAATATCACATAACCTTTTGATGCATTTATGATTGTTAAAATTTCTTCATATAGTTTTATTTAGTATCAATATGAATTAAGTTTTCAGAATTGTCTTATAATACTACAATCTTCAATCCAGCAGAAAATCTAATAAAAAACATTAATATATTCAGCTATAATAATTTAGAATTTATAATAAAAACTAAATAAATAAATAGTCAAGCAGCCAGATTCCTTTCTCCGGCTATTAAGGCTAAATAATTTTTAACAATTTGGTAAGAGGCAGGCTGCCACCTTTTGTTAAATATCATAATTATAGACAAACTAATTTTAAAATATTCTGAAGAGAATATTGGCCCAGAGCAGGACTCAAACTTGCAACCCCTACTTACTGTGCAGCAGGGGTAACCAGATAAAGGAATCTAGCAGTTCATTTGATAATTGAAGTAATTATCTGTATTTATAATAAACACAACTAGTCTGTAAAGATTTGATTTTTGTTTGTTTGGCACTGATAATTATGATTTTCTAAAATTATAATTCATTCTTATAGCATAGTTTCATAACTTGTATTATTTAAAATCAAGAATAAGGAAATTGCTTGAAGCTTACATTACAGTTTATGACAAAACTTGCCATGAAATGCATGTTTCTAAAAAAGCTGAATATTACAAGTTTTTAAGCTAATTCAAAATATTAAAACAATGAAATTGTTATAATAATAGTTATATTTTAGGCAATTTTAAATAGGAATTCAATCATATACAAGCCTTATAATTTTCTCTTTAGGAAATGCAGGCAACTCCTGTATAACACAGAGCAAAATAGTGTTTTAGAAGTACTTTGAGCCTTTGTGCGGGGAAAACTCTTATGCTATTGTGGTGAAGCAGATTTAATAGAAATGTACTGAAAATAAATCAATTTGGTAGATGATAGTGCAGGTGAAAATTCTAAAGTTACAAATTTTACACAAAAAAGCATACTTGAAAGACAAAATTAACCAAGCAACCAGTCTTATTTTTTTTTATGCCTTTGACTGAAAAGAAGCAAAGTTTAAAAGGGAGTTTCAATAATGCTTAGCTGTATATCATAAAATTTACAAAAATCTATCAAGAAAAAAATCAAACAAACCCAGATTTCTGATTTTTTGAGAGAGCAGAAGAAAGTTCAAAAGGTAAAGATATTCTGCAACAGAGAAAATGTTCTTGTTTCATTGTATTTAGCTGCAACAAAGGGGAAGAAAATTAGGCAAATATCAATGTACATTATATGTATCATGGTTTGTAAGGTATTTGTTCAGTTATTTCTATTTTTAATAGAAATTAAGTTTCTGATAATTATAAAAATAAAACGATTATTTTTTTTAGCTTATGGAACATAACCCTATATCTAGTACTGGTTCTTAACATATTAACTGCTATCTGACGTGCCGGCAGTCACACTAATTAGGGCCGTACAGAGCTATATGACCGCCAGCAGTCAGAGCCAACTTTATAGATGTGCACAAGAGGCCACCACTAGGATGTAAAACATCATCTTATAAAGCCAGGATAATTTAACCTTGAGTGAAACTACATTGGTTATAGTGATGTCGGGCAGTCGGATGGTTTTGTACGGCCCTAATTAGTATGACTGCTGGTGTATTGGATAGTGGTTAACATGTTAATCTCACATTACACAAGATTTTTATAGGAACTGCAGTGTTATACAAGGGTTATCTGTATTAGAAAATATTTTTAATAAGATATAATGTAATTTAAAGTTTATATACATTGTAGTCACATAATGTACAGGGTCTTCCTAAAAGAATGCTACCATTTTAAATTATTGTAATCATGTTAATTATTATTTGAGAATGTTGTAACATACATTTAAACATTAAAAAAATGTCCAAGTTTCACATTTGTCTATTACAGTTTCTCAATGCATGCATGGTACCTTGTGTCTCACTGCAAGCATCCAATTGAAACTCAAATTCTTCCTAGGTTACTATGGCATGTGTATTGTCACTCTTCTCACAGAAGTCACATGTTGCATGTCTGCATATTGAATCACTCATCATTATCTAACAGAGTAGACATTGTAAACTTCAGGATGCAAAATACCTTCTCTATTGCAGTGTCACTCATGCACTTCCTAGAGGTTTGATAAGACATTTGAATGCGAGAGAAAACTTGGACAGTTACTCTATTGACTTGTGTAAATTGCAAACTTCTCAGAGATAATTAACATAATTACAATAATTTAAAATAATAGCAAATAATAAAATTTTGTTTGGAAGACCATATATATCAAATATAAAGAAAAAAAATTAAATTAATAAACTATTAATCTGTGAAATTTAGATTAATAATTTTATTATAGTTTCTTTATTTTACAGAAGAACAATGACAATTCGTAAATATTGGAACAAGATCAGGATTTAAATTTCATCCATCCATTTGCATGTTTTACTAATTTTCAAATTAAAGCAGCATGATGAATAAAACAGTCAATATTAGAGTAAATATTCAGATTCAGTTTTAAAAACTTTTTTGAATGTTTTTTGTAAATAACAAGTTATCTTTGCAAATAAATATTTGAATTTGGCTGGGAAATAGAGTGCAATTTAAAAAATCTTGGTTTCAACCATTGCTTTAACAGTTCCATTAGCGCATTGACAAGCAAGATGTTAGCCACTAATCTAATTATTATTCATTTGTCTAGTAAACTCAAAATTTTGATTTTTCACTTTGTTCAAATCAACTTCCTATTAATTATTACAAAAACTTAAAGAATTAATTTTGGAATCAACCACTCTATTAAGAGTTGATTCCATAGTTGATCAAAAGTTTGAATTCTTTGTTAATTAATGTGATAATTAAATATTTAACTTATTAAATTTTTATTTTAAAATGAACGAAATGTTATTTGCACAATGATTTGTGTTCCATTGGGAATATTAATTGGAAATGATGATAGATGGATCAACTGAATTTCAATTCTTTTGATAAAAATGTGTTTGTCAGATTATTTATGTATCAAATAATGTTTTATTGTAATATTTGATCACTCTTTCAGATCAGTTCTAATAAGAATTTTTTCTTTTATTAAACAAATGAATATTTTTTAATTTTGATGTTTTAATTAAATCTGTTTAATATGGGAATTTGAAATAATGTCTTTGAAATTATAATTGTATAATTATTGAATTTTAATAAATTTCCTATATTTTGAATGTTAATGTGTTATTTTTTAGAAATGTTACAAAAACATATACGTTGTGAGTTCCTTTATTTCTGTACACAAAATTGGCCCACCAGTGGCCAAGCAGTTCCATTCTCTGAACACTGGAAGTTGTCATGGGTTTGCACCTCGCTAGGATGGGCTGGCCATTGGAGTTTCTCCTCATCTGTAGCACCTGAATAGGGGCCAGTTACCCTTAAAAATCCCTCCCAATTGTTGTGTTGCCATAACTTAACTAAACAAACAAACAAACTGTACACAAAATTTCTCTTTACTTCTAAAATAATTCTCAACTATGGTAGAATCTTGTAATAATTAGATTTTCCTGATGCAATCTCCATAGGAACCCATACAAAACCTTTTGGTTGTACAATTATATGAGCCATTCACAGGCCAAATCAATTAACTCCATTTGTAAATCCTTAATATAATTGTTATTATTTTCAAATTTTTTGTGTAACTAATTTTATATATCATTATATTAAAGCTATGCTTCAATATAACAATATATAAAAATACATTCTGCAATGCTTATTTAAATTTAAAGTTTAAAGGGAATTTTCAAAAATAATTTATATTATCAAAATCTTTATACTTTTTGTTTTGTGGAGTTAATTGATTTAGCAAGCTCATATAATGTGTTTCAATTTAATGTTTCTCATCTGTTGGTTCCATGATACAGAATTCTTGCAATTTTCACTTGAGTATAAGAATCTTGTTAACTTCTTTTCTTCCTCACTATTATCTTCTAGCTTGTAAATGATTATATACTAGGGGAAGGAGATGTGAGCTTGGAAGTAATGACTTGCGAGCATACCAATCTCAAGAGCCACAGTTATCATAAAGTGTAAGGACGTCCATTTATGCCTTTTTGTTATCTTAACCTCACACTCTAAAGTGAGTAAGATGGCATCAAGGAACACAAGGGAGAGGAAAATGTTGCCAGGCTCCTGGGGCTCTAGTCTGCTGTGTGAGATTCAACTTGTGATGCCTGATGGGAGGAAAGATATGACATCATCTCACTAGAACTTTCACTGTAGGTTATAGTCTGCAGTGTGAGAAATGACTGAGTATCACATGATTATTTCTGATCATGTTCAACTCTTCTCACATTATCACTTTATAACAGATTTACTTTTCATCAATGCTTTTTGTTTCATAAATTATGTCTATCAATAGCCTACAGTCAAATTATTTGTTATATTTTACTTTCATGTGAACACTTTTTAAATTTAAGTAATTAAATTAAAAAAGTATGCCAAATATTTAATTGCATATTAAAAGAAGTTTTTTCTGATTTATATAGTTTTTTCTGATTTCCCTATTAAATATTTTAATATTCAAAATTCTATGTTGTATATACATACATCATACAAACATAGTTTAATTTTAATTAGTAATATAATTTTCCAATGAGTTACATATTTACTGATCTACAACATATAAAGTACAGGTATACCTTGCCTTACGTCGGTAATTGGTTCCAGGAAAACGAAAACGACTTAAGTCGAAAAACGACGTAAGTCGAATTTACTTGTCTCGGAATCTACTTGTCACTAGGCTAAACCATAAATTACTATTCCCAGTTCTGTATTTTATTTATTAATGCATTTTTAATAATATATGGTTAATAAGAATCTATTTTAAGCTTACAAACAAATAAATTTTAGTTTTTAATAGAGTACAGAAAAAAATAATTTAAATTTACGAATGCATGTACTGTACTGTAAATACAGTACATACTTGTAAANTTTCCTATAATAAACCAATTTATTATTAAAATTGCTGGCTACATTATTTAGTTATTATTTAAAACAAGCAAATATATCTACTTTTCTCTATTTATCTGCATTTACAACAAGTGCCAATGATGTCTTGCCTCACTCTGCATGCATGTGTTCAATTCTCCCTTTGTATGTATTGTGCTTTTCTATTGGCTAAATAAATGCAGAAGTTGTTTAGTCTGAAACCAGTAACTTCATAAAGTCATTACTGCCAGTCACCAAGCAGACTTGCAAATTAGTTGATGTTTGATGTCAACCAAATGTCATTCAATGACAACTCACATAGTAGACTAGAGCACCTGATTAGTACCCTCTAGTATGGAATAAGAGCAATATAATTTGGAGGTGAAATTTAAATTGATGAATTCAGAACTAAACTACTTTATTTATATGAAATACTACACAATTTTTTCGTTACTTATCCTTTTGTAGAAGATAAATTTTATATATAACGAGCAATTATTTATTGTGAGACTGTCACAATGCCATGCTGCAATTTTTAATCATATTTTTAATACATTTTATTTAAAATATATGCTCTCCACCTCAAATTAGTAGTATCTTGCCCCTGTACATCAAACTTTTCTTTTAACAATAGTGTTGATGATTGGCACATCTATTACTGTAACCATTTTCAGGGAAAAACTTTTGAATTGAAATAACATGACTTTCAGTGCAAACTGGAAGTTCATATATAGTTAATTGGGGCCTCCTGCCCCTAAGGTTTCCATATCTGGTCTCTGATTTCATCTATCTAGTTCTGGTCTTGAGATTAACAACAGACGGATGACAGTTGGAATTTATAGTTCTATAATTTTTTTCAAATTGTAGCCCAATATGCATAAAAGTGAACTCAATTTGCAATAACTACAAAAAGGGAAACTACAATATTGCATTAATAATCAAAGCTAAAGTTTTCAATTTAAAAAAAACACCAAATTTCTGTATAATTTAAATTAGAAGCTTATTTATCTTGTTTCATATGTGAATTTCATATTTAGCTATTTAACTTCTGATAAGAATTTATTTACATTTTTCATAACTTCAGTTTAACAAATATTTTTGTGGGTCCTCTCAAGTTTGTTATAGCAAGATTTCACTGTATATTATTAGAATTGTGTGAAAAGTAGGTGGCAATGATGTTGTCAAATGTTCATAATAATTTGTTTCAATTACTGCTAACTTTAAAAAACATCAACAATTTTCAGCAATACACATGGAAACTACAAACAACAAAGATGATAAATTATTTCTATTGTAGACATTTACAGTTGGTAAAAGGGGGAGTTAGGCCTTACTCAGAGGTATAGCCCTAGAAGGAGATAGGAAGAAAGGAGAGGTCAGGAGGTGGGATAAGGAAAGGAGGGGAGGGATGAAAGGATTAGGGAATTCTATTGTAGACAATAAACATTCATTTTAATTTAATTTCATGTAAAATTTGAGATTGCATGATATTTAAAGTTCAATTATTGATGTTATATATCAGCAGTTCTTAACTTTTTTAGTGGTCAGCACTCCCTTAAAAAATGTGTGTATATTTTTTATTTAAGAGAAAACATTTATTGCATAAACAAATGCCATGTTTATTTACAATATATATTACTATATAACAAAACGCAATATTTAAATTTTAATGGCTAGGCTGTTGTTTTTTATTCATAATAATTCTATTAAAACAAGGCTCTTTTTTTGAAAGAGCCATGCATAAGTCATCAGATGCATTTAAGCGATTTCTGGCTTTTGTTTTGATGTGCAAAAGTGCTGAAAATCCCATTTTACATAGATAGGTGGTGTCAAATGGTAAAAGTGTCTTTTGCCAGTTGTGGATAAGCTTCTAACTGTTCACACCAGAACTGTTCTAAGTCTAGTTTTTCAAATTCCATTTCCATATGCACATTAGCTTGTATTTTGATAAGATCTTCTTTTAACAAATCATTGTTGTCCATTGAATTTGGATCAAACAAAAATGGATTGAGTATCCATCTATTAATTTTGCTAATATTTCCTGTGAAAAGTATCCATCAAATGATTCACTCAATTGCTGGAGGTGTATTATAATTTCTGGTATAATTATTATTTTTTCGTTTTCCAAAACGACTGAATCCAGCAAAGGAAAGTTTGCTAAATTCCCATGTTCAACTTGACGT